AGACCTCTGTCTTGACAACACTGATTGGCCCTGTGCTGATCACATGCACCCCCCCCCCCCCAAAAAAAAAAAAAAAACCTCTCTAGCAATACACACCAAACTGAGCATGTGCAGAATGACTCCACATGATATGTCTTGTCAGGAGATAAGAGGGGGACACTGAAAGAAGGAGAGGATTGGAGACGTCAGGATCAAACAGTGTTTTTTACACAATGCAGAGGATTAACCCCTTTGGTTCCACAGTGAGTATAACAAGCATGCTTTACTGCATCTACAGACTGATTTTACTGTTGTGGGTTTAGTAACACTTTAAAACTGGATGACTCGATCTGTAAAATGTAGTTTTTGGGGTGCATCATGGGACACATAACAGCCTTATTAATCTGTATTCATAGGACTATGTGCCACCTAAAGGTGATTGGGCACTGAAAGAAAAACAGGAGATCTCCCCTTTATAACCCCTCATATAAAGGAAGGGTCTCAGTTTTGTAGCAAGCCATGAACCATAGAGGAGAGGGACCTCTTTGTCCTTTGGTTTACTACAAGAAATGGATTTTCCAGGTACGTCAAAAATCTATTTTCCAAAGCACTGAATGAGAAGAGGACAATACAGCAACAAGCCCACAGGCCCCAAACAACTTAACCAGAATAGGCTAGGACCTCATACAGATGCCCGCAATACTCTGCAACCAAGGCAGCATCTTCAGCAACATCCAAGCAGTAGAAAACTTTGTAAAAATACAACCCAAAGATCAAGTAGCAGCTTACAGCTTGAGCTACCGAAGTCTGATGATGAATAGCCCAGGAGGTACCTACACTCCTCCTCCAAAAAATGGTGGAGCTTCCACTTTGGACCAAGGATGGAAGATATGATGTGGAAGCTTTTCTTGGGCCTTCAAGAAGTACAAAGGATATCCAACTAATGAATAAAACAGTCAACCTCAGCTAATCCTAACAACCCAAAGCACATTCAAGATGGGAATAGCCTTGCAGATTAAAAAAATATTTAAAAGCGTGAATTGTGGATGAGGAAAGCTCTGAAACTGAGCTTGTAGCCCTGTAAGATGGGGAAACAGTTGTCATTGTTTGAATATTGTGTGAAGTAAATTAGAGAACGTTCTGAGTGACGTTATGCAGTTTGGCCACAAGATGTCACTGTTTCTAACACAGCTCCAGACTGCATAGCTATTTCTATATTCCGGAAGGGGGGGGGGGGTTTACACAGGAGAGCTCAGTGAACAGGAAGAGAGACTGCAGCCATGTTTTTGATGATGGTGAAGGAAAAGAGCCATGTGAGCAGAGAATCCGTTGGCTTCCAGGGTGAGAACTGCAGCTAAGTGAAGCTGATGGTGTTCAAGACGTTGATCCTGTTCAGAGAAAGGAAGATCGCTGCCTCAAAGGCTGATGACATCGCATGCTTGTGAAGGATCAACATTTCTTCTGTTCAGAGTCACCATCGGCTGTAATACAGACCCGGGTCGGTAAGATCCTGCACGCACCTCATTTCAGTGTTGGTGCCTAGAGACTGAGTCCAGGCCTTCGTTAGTTAGTGTCTCTGTTTGTGTCAGGCCACAAGTGTTATTACTGATTATTGGAAGGACTCCATAACTTAAAGTGACATTTCACATTGGAGAGCTGATAAAATCCTACAAACTCAAGCCAGACTGGTGTTTTGCTCAGAAGGAATACTCAGGCACGTGCTACAGGACCAGTTATGGGAGGGGGAATACTGTAGATTTGTGTAAGATTGTAAAACTGTTGTGCTGCACCGCAGGCTAGCCCATACCGTACCCCCATACACTGATTCCTGCTCTTTTAGGGTAATAACAGGTAAGGATTGGCAGCTTAGTTGTGCCCCCCAGTAGGTAAATTACTAAACTTTCTACCTTCATCCATCAGGAGGCGCCGTGCTGTGCAGCACAAGGGTCTCAGCCTTTGGACTGGGTGTATGTAAATTTGTTGTATGTTCCAGCATTTGTGGTTGTGTTTATTTGCCACATCTAAGTAAAATTCTGTTATGACAAAAGCTGGTGTTGGGGTTGCTTTCCTCGTTCGTGACTTCACTGTATCCTGGGGAGCCCACCCTGGTACACGGCTTACAGCCCTGTACAACACACTCACTTGTCCTCTATGCCCCCCCCCAAACAACGTTGCTAGCTGAGAGGCCCAGGACATCTTAGGGAACTCAAATTGAGTTTTCAACCTATAAGTCACAGCCAGAGAACAATGAAATGATTACCATGTGGAGGAAGAAACAGGAGTGGCAGATCACTGAGTCACATGCTTTCCCTACTTTCCAAAATATAACAACAAAAAACTGAATACAGCCTGAATACCTCTGGATATAAAACCAGATCAGGCCCAAACAAACATTCCCCATTAAATGTAGAATTATTACAGCAGCTTCTTTGCTAAGTAACTCTGCAGACCACAATCTTGGCCAGATACTTCTAGGCATGCAATTATCAAAATGCTGGTGTATATACAATAGTCCAAAAGGAGCAAATTGTTGGCTAGAAACCTCAAGGCCTCCACAGTGAAGGGGGGCATGAGAGAATTCTTCAGACATTCTCTCAACTTGGTATCACTACTCAAGGCATCCAACCCTCTGGTGAAGCTTCACCTTAAGGTTTTGGCAGACTCTGCTAGCCACAACTGCCAGCTGCAAGGCTGCACCCATCAAGGTAAACAGTTTCAACAAAGTCTGTAGATGTTTGTATCATTATGGTACTTAAGGATGTCAACATCCATAAGTACCGTAATGGTTGTCCACCGGTCACATAAGACTTTCACTTAGACAAGAGATTGTCACATCTACAGAGGGCATATACCACTACATAGTGAATGGTCAGATGAACACAGCTCGCATACAAAATTTCCTTAAGGTGAGGATGAACAGGGAACTATGAGGACCTTATGGTGCCTGTTATGACCCAGGGGTGGAGCCAGGGGCTGACTGACAACTCATGGGGCCCCCCGGGCAATAGGGGATCATGGGGCTCCTGTGTCCTTGCCCAAACTAAAAAAAAACCTATGAAAAAGGTACCAGGGGCATCTCATGGGGCCCCCCTACTGACCCCCGGGCCCTCGGGCAGTGCCTGAGTTTCCAAATGGTCAGTCCGCCCCTGGGTGGAGCTTTCTGAGAAAAGAAGAGAAAACTTAAGATCCATGCATACCACATCCTCAAGAAATTGCCTGAAGATTTTATGAGTCTGGCACAAAGTCCTTGGAAAACTGAATCTTCTGCCTCCATATCCTCAGGTACACTATGCTGTAGTCTATTTCAGCATCATCTCCTGAAAGTTCCTCCTCCCCTAAAAATATGCAAGGAGGGAAGGAAAAGCCAACTTTCACAAGCATGATGGTTCCTGGAATGCAAGCAAAAACTCTTCTTTTGTCACAGAGGAACTGGAGGAAAGGTGCCCCTGAGGTAGTGGAGGTACCTGATAAGAGAAGAAAGTCAGAACCTCAAAGCATACATTGACCCTCTGGGGAACGGTACCAGGGGATCACTCCTAGGTTCTTTCCTACCTGACTGAGGTATTAGGGACCCATCCCCCCGTGTCCCCACTTCTCTGCCATCTGTGAAACATATGCCCTGCTCACACCAGGAATGGCACAATCCCAGTCAGTTGAGAGTGCACTGTGCAACCACCAACAGCGCACAGGTTACTCTAGGAGACTGACTCCAGCATCCCCACCATCTTCCACAGGTGTGCTCACATAACCCTGGAGGCCCGATGAGGATGGGAGTGTCGAGAATAAACATTGCTTCAACTGTATCTATACTTTGGGATGTCAGTGTTAACTGGGGAGTGTCACTTCCATAGCTGAAGCCGCTGTGGTCTTTCCTGTGCCACCAGGTTATCCTGATGCTGTTACAAAGCAGGCAGTATTGCTTCTGCCATAACACCCCACCTCTGTAATGGCACCTGGAGGCACCCAGGCTGCTTCTCAGCACTGCCACTGAAACGTGGTGATGGAGCGGCCTGGAAAGCAGCCAGGATTCCTTAATTCCTCCTCATTGTGGTGCTGTCACATCCTGGAGGGAGCACGGTGCAGGCCAGGCAGTGTTACCAAAAGCAGGGACACAAGATGATACCACATCAGCAGCCACTTCTCCAACAATAAATATATTGAACAAGTAAAAACAGCAAATAATCCCACGGGGTCAATTCCCTAACCCTACTGTTCATGTACCGTAGGGCAGAGGGGAGGGGGAGGGGCAAACTAGCCAATTACCAACAGGGCTACTAGTCCAGCCTCAGTGCCCCTCCCCTTCCCAGGGGAAGGGATCCAATTTTTACCCCTTATGATGAGCCTTAAGGATCTCCCATGCTAGGATTCATTATCCTGGACGTTTATAGCAACCTACTGGACCACACCTTGGCAATACATCAATGTGCAAGGTTCCATAAACTCAAGATCCTGTTCGAATACATTACAGGCTGTCCCCACATCTCGTCCTCTCTGTCCGGTGCAGGGGTCCAGGTAGCAGTTTTCTAAATGAGAATAACTGTAGGAATGAATCCCTATAGGACCATTCTCCACATCCCAGTTGGAACTGTTGAGAATCTGGTAACATCATGCAGAGAGCTACACAGCAGAGACCATCAACTTCTGACAATGGCAAAAAAAGCCAAGGTCCTTCTTGTATGGAAGGGTTATATAGGAAGGGACTTCCTGTTATTTTGCCAGTGTCCAATCACCTGTAGGTGGTGTATAACCCTATGAGTAGGGATTATTATTAGAGATGAGCGAAGTATTCAAAAATTCGATTCCGTGAATTTGTGGAAAATATTCGATTCGAGTCGAATATATTCGCTGTGAATTTAACTTTAAAAAGGGTGTTTCTAGGCTTCAGAGAGACTTAATATTAGTGCAGAACACTGTACCTTTAATTTAAATGCCCTTGGAGTCTGCTGGGGAAGAGAAATAATACTGTCAGTCAGTATGACATGCAGATGAGTGCCGTCGATCTTAGAATCACCGCACACTTCATTCATTTGGCCAGTCACGGGGCCAAAACCAGTGTTTGGAGCCACAGTGTGGCGGTGGAGGCAGCAGATATGGGAGGCCATACAGCAACCTATGACAAAATGGAAACCAGCAGGAGTGTGAGGAGACCTGAAAGTGGCACATGGCAGAGTGGGAGCAATGGGAGGCGGTACAGGGACCCAGGTCACACTGTGGGACCAGCAACAGCGTGACCAGGCGGTACGGGGGCCCATGGCCGATTTGGGGCCTGGCGGCACCTATGGGAGGCCTGTAATCTGCCAGCAACCTATGACAAAATGGAAAACCGCAGGAGTGTGAGGAGACCTCAAAGTGGCACATGGCAGAGTGGGAGCAATGGGAGGTGGTACAGGGACCCAGGTCACACTGTGGGCTCAGCAGCAGCGTGACCAGGCGGTACGGGGGCCCATGGCAGATTTGGGGCCTGGCGGCACCTATGGGAGGCCTGTAATCTGCCAGCAATCTATGACAAAATGGAAAACCGCAGGAGTGTGAGAAGACCTCAAAGTGGCACATGGCAGAGTGGGAGCAATGGGAGGCGGTACGGGGACCCAGGTCACACTGTGGGACCAGCAGCAGCGTGACCAGGCGGTACGGGGGCCCATGGCCGATGTGGGGCCTGGCGGCACCTATGGGAGGCCTGTAATCTGCCAGCAACCTATGACAAAATGGAAAACCGCAGGAGTGTGAGGAGACCTCAAAGTGGCACATGGTAGAGTGGGAGCAATGGGAGGCGGTACAGGGACCCAGGTCACACTGTGGGCCCAGCAGCAGCTTGACCAGGCGGTACGGGGGCCCATGGCCGATTTGGGGCCTGGCGGCAGCTATGGGAGGCCCTGTAATCTGCCAGCAACCTATGACACAAAATGGAAAACCGCAGGAGTGTGAGGAGACCTCAAAGTGGCACATGGCAGAGTGGGAGCAATGGGAGGCCGTACAGGGACCCAGGTCACACTGTGGGCCCAGCAGCAGTGTGACCAGGCGGTACTGGGGCCCATGGCCGATTTGGGGGCCTGGCGGCACCTATGGGAGGCCTGTAATCTGCCAGCAATCTATGACAAAATGGAAAAAAAAAGGTGTGAAAAAGGCCACCATTTTAGAACGGTAGCGAGGGTCCAACAAGGTGGACAGCCAAAAGTCATCCCTCTGTCTGATGGTTATTATTCGGCTGTCGCTACGCAAGCAACCGAGCATGCTATGGGCCATTTGTGCCAAGGAATGCGAGGGACTCCCTGCCTCCATCTCCACAGCATACTGCCACGGTGCGTCTGGGTCCTCTGTCTCCTCCCTCCTCCTCTACCAGATGCTCCTGCTCCTCCACTCCTGTCCGCTGAGTGGAAAAACCACCCATTTCACTCAATAATTCCTGAGCACCAATGTCCTCCTCTACCTCCTCCTCTTCTTCCTGTCCTGCCCCCACAGGGGTCATGTGGCGTTGAGATCTGTGCGCCACGTCTACCGCACCCTGACCAGCCATTGTTAACAGCATTTGTTCCAGGACGTGCAACAGAGGAATGACCTCGTTCATCCCATAGTTCTGCCGACTCACGAATAGCGTGGCCTCCTCAAAGGGCCTGAGCAAGCGCAGGTGTCACGCATGAGCTGCCAATGGCTGACATCTAGGTTACACAGGGAGTACCTTTATCCGCTTTTAACATCAGGAAATCTGTGATGGCCTTTCGCTGTTCGTAAAGGCGGTCTAACATATGTAGGGTTGAATTCCACCTTGTTGCAACGTCACAGCATGAGGAGTCGGTATGGGGGCCCATGGCAGATTACGTGCCTGGCAGCAGCAATGGGAGGCCCGTAATCTGCCAGCACCCTATGTCAAAAAATTGAACACACCAGCAGTGTGAGGAGACCTGAAAGTGGCACATGGCAGAGTGTGGCGATGGAGACAGCAGCAATGGGAGGCCGTACAGGGACCCATGACACACTCTGGACTTGGCAGCAGCATGAGGAGGCGGTATAGGGGCCCATGGCAGATTAGGGGCCTGGCAGCAGCTATGGGAGGCTCGTAATCTGCCAGCACCCTATGACAAAAAATTGAACACACCAGCAGTGTGAGGAGACCTGAAAGTGGCACATGGCAGAGTGAGGCGATGGGAGACAGCAGCAATGGGGCCGTACAGGGACCCATGAGAGACTCTGGACCTGGCAGCAGCATGAGGAGGCGGTACAGGGGCCCATGGCAGATTAGGGGCCTGGCAGCAGCTATGGGAGGTCCGTAATCTGCCAGCACCCTATGTCAAAAAATTGAACACACCAGCAGTGTGAGGAGACCTGAAAGTGGCACATGGCATGAGAGACTGGAGGACCTGGGAGGCCGTACAGGGACATGAGGAGGCGGTATAGGGGCCCATGGCAGATTAGGGGCCTGGCAGCAGCTATGGGAGGCCCGTAATCTGCCAGCACCCTATGACAAAAAATTGAACACACCAGCAGTGTGTGAGGAGACCTGAAAGTGGCACATGGCAGAGTGAGGCGATGGGAGACAGCAGCAATGGGAGGCCATACAGGGACCCATGAGAGACTCTGGACCTGGCAGCAGCAGCATGAGGAGGCGGTACAGGGGCCCATGGCAGATTAGGGGCCTGGCAGCAGCTATGGGAGGCCCGTAATCTGCCAGCACCCTATGTCAAAAAATTGAACACACCAGCAGTGTGAGGAGACCTGAAAGTGGCACATGGCATGAGAGAGACTCTGGACCTGGCAGCAGCATGAGGAGGCGGTATAGGGGCCCATGGCAGATTAGGGGCCTGGCAGCAGCTATGTGAGGCCCGTAATCTGCCAGCACCCTATGACAAAAAATGGAACACACACCAGCAGTGTGAGGAGACCTGAAAGTGGCACATGGCAGAGTGTGGCGATGGAGACAGCAGCAATGGGAGGCCGTACAAGGACCCATGAGAGACTGTGGACCTGGCAGCAGCATGAGGAGGCGGTATAGGGGCCCATGGCAGATTAGGGGCCTGGCAGCAGCTATGGGAGGCCCGTAATCTGCCAGCACCCTATGACAAAAAATGGAACACACCAGCAGTGTGTGAGGAGACCTGAAAGTGGCACATGTTTGGGGCATGATTCATGGTGGATTTATTCAGTTGTGTCAGGAACTGGTGGTTTGAAATCCAGACTAATCCACGCCTGATTCATTTTCACAAACGTGAGTCTCTCCACACTTTGAGTGGACAGTCGTGTCCTCCGCGGAGTTACAATACCTCCTGCCGCACTAAACACGCGCTCCGATGCCACGCTACTGGCCGGGCATGACAGCCTTTCAAGGGCAAATTCAGCTAGTTGGGGCCAAAGGTCAAGTTTCGTTGCCCAGTAGTCAAGGGGATTGTCTACCTCGGTTGGCAGGGTGCTGTCCAAGTAGGCCCAAGCCTGTTGTTTGAGCTCCTGCTCCAGGTCCACCTGATGCTGCTGCTGCTGCTGGGCTGGTTAGTAGTTTCCTCACTGCGCTGGTGAAGAAAGCTACTCATCATCGACTGCAGACTGAGGCAGCCGCTGCTGGTGGAGCTGCCACTGCTCCTACCACCCCACCCCTCCCCTGCTGCCATGGCAGCGGAACGCGAGCGCACAGGGCCCACAGTGTCTGAGGATGGACGTTGGCGCACAAAGGCAGAGACCAACTGACTACATAGGTGGTTTTTTATAGTACGTTATTTTGGCCTCCCTCTCAGCAGGTGTGAAAAAAGGCCACCATTTTGGAACGGTAGCGAGGGTCCAACAAGGTGGACAGCCAAAAGTCATCCCTCTGTCTGATGGTTATTATTCGGCTGTCGCTACGCAAGCAACCGAGCATGCTATGGGCCATTTGTGCCAAGGAATGCGAGGGACTCCCTGCCTCCATCTCCACAGCATACTGCCACGGTGCGTCTGGGTCCTCTGTCTCCTCCTCCTCCTCCTCTACCAGATGCTCCTCCTGCTCCTCCACTCCTGTCCGCTGAGTGGAAAAACCACCCATTTCACTCAATAATTCCTGAGCACAAATGTCCTCCTCTACCTCCTCCTCTCTTCTTCCTGTCCTGCCCCCACAGGGGTCATGTGGCGTTGAGATCTGTGCGCCACGTCTACCGCACCCTGACCAGCCATTGTTAACAGCATTTGTTCCAGGACGTGCAACAGAGGAATGACGTCGTTCATCCCATAGTCCTGCCGACTCACGAATAGCGTGGCCTCCTCAAAGGGCCTGAGCAAGCGGCAGGTGTCACGCATGAGCTGCCAATGGCTGACATCGAAGTTACACAGGGGAGTACCTTTATCCGCTTGTAACATCAGGAAATCGGTGATGGCCTTTCGCTGCTCGTAAAGGCGGTCTAACATGTGTAGGGTTGAATTCCACCTTGTTGCAACGTCGCAGATCAGGCGATGCTGTGGAATTCCGTTCTGCCGCTGCAGCTCAAGGAGGGTGTGCTTTGCGGTGTAGGAATGGCTGAAATGCATGCAAAGTTTACGTGACATTTTAAGGATGTCTTGCAGTGGGATGGTGGATTTTAGGAACCGCTTGACAACCAGATTGAACACGTGAGCCATGCATGGCGCATGGCACAACCTTCCTTGACGCAGAGCAGACACCATGTTCTTTCCGTTGTCGGTCAACCCGATTTTCAGTTTGCGCGGGAGAGACAGCCATCTGTCGATTTCTCTGTTCATTTCCGTTGTCCCCATGTGTCTACGTTCGCAATGTCCGATTTTAAGTTTGCCAGCAGGCACACAACATGGGATTTTCATCTGTCGATTTCTCTGTTCATGTGGACACTCAGAAGTTCCTCCCCTGTGTGACTACGTTCGCCAAGGCATACCAGGTGTGCCATTGTGACAGGTTGCGGCCCTGACATGTGTATGCACATCGTGACACCGTTTGCGCCCTGCACATGTGATATGCCGGTCGGGGCATAATGGGAGCACAGCGTGGACACCGTTGCTTGGCACAGGGGGGTCGGGGTAATGGCGGCTGTGTGGGACAGGACACGGAAGAAGAGGTGGTAGAGGCGGACATGTTTGCTGGACCAAGGACGTGCAAACGTGGAGGCAAAAGCGTCGTGACCTGTCCAAGTTGCTGGTGCGGCTGTGCCGGCACCACGTTCACCCAGTGTGCCGTAAATGACATGTACTGTCCCTGACCGTAGTTACAGCTCCACACGTCGGCGCTGCGCGTGCCGTGCACTTTGGCAGAGACCGACATGCTCAAAGACTGGCCCACCATCTCTTCTACATGTGAATGCAGGGCTGGCACTGCCTTTTTGGCGAAGAAATGACGGCTTGGCACTCTCCACCGCGCGCGGCACAAGCCATCATTTCTCGGAAAGGTGCTGAGTCCACCAGTTGGAAAGGGAGGGACTGCAGCACCAGCAACTTGGACAGGAGGACGTTCAGCTTTTGCACCGTCGGGTGCGTGCTCGCAAACTGTTGTCTCTTGGAAACGGATTCCAAGAAAGACTGCTGACGGAATCCGAGAAGAGGAGTAGCAGGAGAAGGAGCATCTGAACGAGCGGGAAGATGCCAACGAGCCGACAACTCCCCTCAGCAGAGGTGTTGGAGCCTTGACTGGCTGATAGAGGGCGATTGACGTCGGGTGACGGAGCAAGTAACGGAGCGGGTGATGGAGCGGGGGCTGGGGCAGGCAGAACCGCCGTATCTTTATCATGGTTTTCCCAGGCCACCGAATGGCGACGTTGCATATGCTGATGCAACGCTGTAGTCCCAACATGGGCCCCCTGGCCACGCTTGACTTTCTGGCCACATAGTCGACATACGGCTACGTTTACTTCCTCGGGCGGCTTGACGAAAAAATTGCCACACCACCGAGTAGGAAACTTTGCCCCCGCTACTCCTCACTGGCTGACTGCTACTTCCTCCGTGCACACCGGCACCACTACTGGCCGTGGTGGTAGGCTGCAGTGGAGCTGGTGCTCTACTCCGTGGCCGTTTGGCTCCACTGACACTGCTGCGACCCTGCTGCCTCCTGGGCAACCCACCGACTGTTTCGCTCGCTGCCAAGCTGGCACCCTCTTCTCCTGATGATGCGGAAGAAATTACCTGATGACGACGAGGCTGCCAAGTGCGATCAACCTCCTCATCATCAAGTAGGGTCTCCGCCTCACTACTAGCCCCCTCGGCTGCGTCTGGGTCAGGAGACAGACCTGTCTCTAGACCGGCTACCGAGCCACTCTCCTCGCCAGTACTTCTTCGCCTGGCTGCTGAAAAGGCGGATGTCTCCCCCCGTTCCTGACCGCCCTCTGTTAGCTCTTCCTCACTGTACAGTGGGGCTGAGCCCACAGCATGCGATACTTCGCTTGGTGAGGGAACAGCAAAGGACAGGGGCAGGTAGAGGACACGTGATTTCAGTGGGCTTGCTCCTGGGCCATGCCAACTAACGGTTGTGTCTGACGTACCCACCGACCGTTGGCTGTAGGTGTCAGAGGTGACCTGGGAAGAGGAAGACGACCGAGCCAACCAATCGATGACGGCAGGGTTGTCGGTGGAGACACGACCGCTGGATGACACCAGGAGCACTGGCCTCTGGCTGCGAATAGTGCTGCCTCGACCCCTTCCTCTGCTGCCACGTCTGCTCGCTCCTAAAACATTGCCTCCTCTGCCACTCCTCTGCATGTTGTCTGACATACTCTTTAATTCAACGATTCTGTGTCCCTGAGTAACAATTCTGTGTCCCTGAGTAACAATTCTGTGTCCCTGAGTAACAATTCTGTGTCCCTGAGTAACAATTCTGTGTCCCTGAGTAACAATTCTGTGTCCCTGAGTAACAATTCTGTGTCCCTGAGTAACAATTATGTGGCCCTGAGTAACAATTATGTGGCCCTCCGTAACAATTCTGTGTCCCTGAGTAACGTTTCTGTGGCCCTGAGTAACGGTTCTGTGGCCCTCAGTAACGGTTCTGTGGCCCTAAGTAACGGTTCTGTGGCCCTCAGTAACAATTCTGTGTCCCTCAGTAACAA